CCCCAAAACCCCAAAACCCCAAAACCCCTTCATTGATAATAACTAGATTCTGCTTTTAAATTAATTTATGGTCTTTAATTTACAATTAAATACAAATGATTCCAATTAACAGTCAAGATTTTGATTTGTATTGATTATACTCTAAAAACCCTAAGAACATACCACTTCTTCTTATCCTTTCAGGGTTAGTCCAATCAATAAATTTAAGCTCGCCTCTATTAGCTTTATCTTCAACTTCCTTTAAATAGTCGATTAATTCGAACCTGCTGTAAAGTATTGCTTTATCTCTGGGAGTGTTTCCATGTGGATCAATATGTCTGGGATCAACTCCATTCTCTACCAACTTCTTAACCATATCAAATCTGCCTAGACTTGCAGCCTTCAACATCGGCGTATACCCAACAAAATCTCTAATATTTAAGTTAGCCTTCTGAGCAATTAGAAAATCAAAAAGATCTTCTCTGTTCATTACCACTGCATCATGAATTAAAGTGTGTTTCCCATGGCTCTCTATGGGATCATCAATATAGAACTAGTCAGAATAATATAGCTTTTTTAATTCATCTAAGTCATATTCTTTGACTAAATTCCTCACTTCGTTTGTCTATCGAAAGTTAATATGAATGTGATTTCTAAATACTTTAAATCTGGAATTAATTGAAGATAATATATTGAATATGTGAGAAGTTCTAAACTTACAAACAAAGTATCGGGTGTATTTAATGCTATATTATATCGCTAATCTATTCCAAAATATCTCTCAAATAAAATAGGAATGTATCTCTTTGTCAGTGTATATTGGTTGAAAAAAATAGCTCTTTTATTGGTATATTCCATTAGTGATAGCATATACTTAGTCTTCAACTAAAATTATTAATTGCTTTAAACCTCCTCCAATTTAATGTTTTCAAAATCCTTCTTATTTCCTTGCAAAAGTCCACCCATTTTTAAATGTTTTAATTAATTTATATATCAATAAATTAAATTAAGATTAGTTCTAGAATATTTCTGTAAGATGTAGTGAAAAATATAATATATTCATTAGCTATTGATAAAGTTAAAGTAAGCTTTGACAAAATCTTCTTGTTTTCTGCTCTCTACGCAGCGTTTATCTCTTCTTTTTCTCATGAATTCTATAATCTTTTTGAAGTTGCCGAATTCGCAAAAGTACGAAAGCACACAGCATGCTAGCAGACCAGCTCTTCCAACCCCTCCTCGGCAATGTATAAGCACATTACCTTTATTCTGAAGTAGATGTTTAACTATCACTTCCACTACTTCCTTGTGAAATTATTCCAAATTTTCAGGCGGAGCCATTTCAATTATTGGGTATTTAAACAATATGACATTTGATCTATCACAAGCCAATTCGTAGTCTGGCACCTTAAGGCCAAGACTTCTCAGTTCACTATCACTAAGAAGACAGATTATTAAGTTAATGCCCTAATTTGCGTAAGCCTCAATATCCTTAAATATATCTCTATCATGTCTCTTTCCATCTCTGCCCTTTTCTATTTTCTTACCAGGACATTGGGATAAAGCCAACTTACCCAAGTTAAAGTTTAAACTATGACTCTTATTTTCTTCAGTCATTCCCTAATCTAATATCATAGATTTAAATTTGAGGTTCTCTATATCAGTAGTATCAAAAATCCAAGCTAATTTCAAAGGTTTTTCTGAGGTAACAGTCCTAATTCCACTATATTCAACTAGCTTCTCTTCTTATTAGGCTTCGAAATCTCGTTTCTTATCAAATACAAGCAATCCATTCTATTATCTTTCATCGTTTACTTTGAAAAAGTTAGGATTGATGTTTTTGCGAACACTTTGTATCTATAGATTAATCATTCCTTGGCTGATATTAGTAGAAATACTAGCTGACTTTTTTCTTTGAATTTTTTCCATTTTGAAATTTAAGTTTGTTTTAAAGGAGTAATCAAATAAAAATATAATATTGCTATTAAGAATTGTGTTTCATAGATAAATATAATTAATCAACAGACAATAAATATTGGTAAAAAGAGAGCCGACAGTGGGGATTGAACCCACGACCTTCCGCTTACAAGGCGGATGCTCTACCACTAAGCTATGGCGGCTTCTTAATATTTGTGTGCAATATATCTTTTTAAATGAGGCTCCACAAACTTTAATTTGCAGTGATGATGTAGAGTTAATATATTGGTTATATTAGTTGGTAAATAAAACTCTAATAGATAAAGTATAGAATTACTATAATCAAACAATATTTTTATTCGATATACACAGTTCATATCTGCTATTAGTGATTGGTAGATCTACCACTCTCAGGATTCTCTTTCTTATTGTCATCATCAATTAGCAAAACTACTAATTCCCCTTCACCAGCAAAAGTAGCCTAACACTTCCGATCGAATATTCTTAAATCATTATGGTCAACATTGATGTAAGAATATCGGCGTTTCTCATCGTTCAATTTTATCTTCTTGAAGAAAGCCATGATCCTCTAATCAGGAGTTGTTATAAGCATCACAGGTTTGCCATCAGGTGTCTAAAGATACTTTCTACATTTATAGCAAACATGTCTTTCTCCGTGATAAGTCACAGTCACATTCTATTAGCCACAAGTCAAGCAGCCTTAGTCATAAATAGCTGGAATTGGCATGCTTGGTTTTAATTTTGGCTTTCGGCTGTACTTAAAGTATACCTACTTAGCTTCATAGTCTAGCTCTTAATTAATACGTAGCTTTAGTGATTTAATTTGTTTTTAGTTGATAATAGGCTTTTAATCTTCTTGAGGAGTTTTAATTGTGCTTGCCTTCATTTAAATGTGGTGGTCATTTGCTTTTAAAAGATGGGGTTTTATAGCTATTGATTGTGTGAAATTTGATTTTATACTATTGCTTTATTAAATCTACTTAATATTTTAGTTCTCACTCTTTTAATCTTAATTAATTTAAGGGGTCTAATTAGTGTTTTTCACAATAATACTATTTAAAGCCTTACTTCTAGTTGTTCCAGGATTATTATTACTTAAATAAGATATTTACTTTTGCATTAAGCTGGGTTATATTGGATTGTAAAGAATAGATGAGAAAAGCTTATTGGATTAAGCAACATCAACAGATATTTTCAAATTCTAACTAGCTTAGCTATTTGTATTTAAATCTTTTTAAAGTTTATAGATAAGTTAAGGGCTCTTTATGTGTTATTATGAAGATATAGTATGATGATTAAAATTGATTCCAGATTTAATTGGGGTCCTAACAGATATTGATGTTGTCTTAGGCTTTAGAACTTTTATAGTATGCTTGTGAAAAATTGGCCTATCTCTAGGTAACTCAATGATTGAAGTTTTTCTACTATGCTTACTGACCTCTTTTTCTAATTTATTCTAAAAGAACTTAGATATTTGCTGAGTGTACAACATATTGGCATTAGCATTTTTTGTACTGTGAGCATTCTATAATCCTGGCTAAAGCAGATTAACATCTTAAGAGCTTCCAACAGAAGCCTATCTACTTGAATATCTACGAGGATTTACCAAGCCATTAAAGTCCTGTTAATTGAGGAGTAAATTAGAACTACCACTATGATTCGGATTATGCGATTGGCGTCTGGCAAACTCCTTGGAGTCTTTATTTTTAGAATGCTAATGACCAGTGGTCAAAAATCTGACACTCATATCTCCACCTCCTGCTCGATTTGATAATTTTCCTCCCCCTAGCGACTGCTTATGATCAGAGCTCTTATGATAATAAGGGGTTTTTTTAAGTTGTGATAAATTGACTTTTATTAGAGAATTTTTTCGTGAATGAGAGCTTGGTCTGCCATGAGAGTCCTTATAATGCTGCAAACGTGATCCTGATGATTCTGAGTCATCGTATGGGTTGTCACTCTCAGTAGTTATTTGAACTCCAAACTAGTTCAATTTACTTCCTTGTCCTCCAGCATCTCGTTTAACCTCATCTAACTAATGCTGAATAGCTAGTTATCTTTGATATTCTCTCAGCTCATTGAAATTCTAATCAATACCCAAAACCCCAAAACCCCAAAACCCCGTGATCAAGTGGAAATATCAATTTAAAAAATGTAGCGTAGCTTAAATAAAAAGATTAAATAATGTGCTCTATTTTAAAATTTCAAAAGCAATAAAAGAATTAGTGCCGATATAAGCTAATTTAGACAAGTTAAATAATCTATCCTGAAATATCCTACCTTCCTCAATGACTAATTCATAAAATTATTTTCTGTAGACATTCAACTTTGACTGGCTTTTCCACTATTAAATTATTATAAGATTGTTTATTACCAAAGAAGTTAAACTGTTTATATCTGTCCTCTTCATTAAATTGCTCTCGAGTGATTGCTGAGAGAGCAATTATTTTAGTCCTACTCAAATCTACAATCCCTTGACTTTCCAGTCTTGTTAGCTCTTGCATTGTCTAAATGATTAATTTATATTTAAAAATGTAACTTACCTAATATCCATCTAAGACAGGCATATTGATGTCCAAAAATATGAAATCAAAAAATTTATTTCCTTCCTCATAGCTGCTGGTAAACATATTTAAATTCTAGATTTATTCAATAGCCTATTCTCCATTCATAGCTCTCTCAATCTTTAAATCATTCTTAATCTAAAGCAAAAGCTCCTCCAGGACGAATAAGTTATATGGCTAATCATCTACTATCAAGATGTTCACTCGTGGTTAATTCCTTGAGAAATAGTTATTGTCAAATAAGCTATGATTCTCATCTAGAAACATTTTATCAATCTGCCTCACTGTCTGATATTTTTATATTTGCTTCTCAGGCATGCTAAAATATTCAATATCATCAATGGTCTCCATTTCTTCTTTAAAGAATGAATCATTAGGACAGTCCATCATAGATTAATGATTAGTTCTCATCATTTGATTTAGCATTCCTGATTAAGTTGCTTACTCTTAAAACAAACTATTTTAATTGAACTGTCTATTAGCATTCGTTTACACTTCTTATCTTTTGAACTCATCAACAAGTATTGTAAATGAAAACTTTGAACCTGTCTTGACTGTTGATTTTACCATTATTTCTCCTTTTAGCTATTATGCTATTACTTTAGAGATGCTTAGACCCAATCCCATTCCTCCTTTGTTAATAGATTAAGAACATGTTAGCTTTCCGAAGAACTTGAAAAGTTTAGTCAAATCTTATTCTTTAATGCCAATACCAGTGTCTTTGACGCTAGTCTTTAGATACTAACCCTCAAATTTTAAACTAATTTTAATGTATCCCTAGAATGTGAATTTGATAGCATTGCCTATAAGATTGAAAATGATCTGCTTAAATCTTTTTTAATCAGAAAAAATTTCCTAGGGAACATTACTATGGATTTTTGTTATAAGTTTTAATTTTTTCTGGGAAATCTAAACCTCCATAATATTAGATATTTAAGCTATTGTAAGCCTGATGTCAAAGAAGTTTTTATTTACAGCAAATTTGTTATTTTCTAGCCTAGTCATATCCAATGCATCTTCAACCAAATTTTCAAGATGTAAGGCTGAGTTGAGAATAATAACCAAGTATTGTTCTCTTTTGGGATCATTTGGATTATTCTTAAGTTTTGTTGTCAGTGGTATAATAGAGTTTAGAGGAGTCCTAAGTTCATGAGCTATCTAAGAAAAGAATCTAGAGCGAAGCTTTTAAGCCATTTTTTCTAGCTCTTTTATCTTAGAGATATCATTGAATATAGCTATCACTTGAGTACCCATCGCAATATTTTGAGCTTTTACCTGAATGAATTTTTTATCATGCTTTCCTTTGAATAGCGAATCTTTGATTTTTTTCTTATTACCACTTTTCTAGAATAAATAGGTCCACATATTTAGTTAGCTCTTACTTTGAGATTCTTAAGAATCTGAATCATTTTTACTTTCCTCCATTATTTCACTTCCATCAAAGTTTGCCCCCTCCTCTTTGAAGTTTTCTTTTAATTTGTAACTTATTAGTGTTTACTCAACCCCTCTATAGTCATGAGATTCTGTCAACTGCTAATCATTGAATATTTTGGAAATTTCCTTGTTCGCAAAAGTTATTTTCTAGCTAATAGTGTCTAATATAAGGACACCTTAGGGGATCATTTCCAATGTTTTATGCCATCTCTCTTTTATCTAAATCTGATGAATGGCATGAAACTTACAATGCTTTATTACTCCTAGTACAATTTCTCAACTTAAGCTTGAAAATTTTCATATATTTTTGAAGTTTCTATATTAAAAAATGCGTACATTACTATACTAAATGTCATATCCAATGAAAAATATCCTAAATATTTTATCAATCTAATTCTTACCATAATGTAGATATATTCGGAAAAGATAATAACCCCAAATAAGTACTTAGCAAAGTATTTTCTATTTTCTGCTAGATAGTAGGATTGTATTAAAGTATTCTATCAATCCCATGAGACTTGGAATACTATAAATATAAGGTAAATATAAATGAATAGATGATATCGCTTACGGTTCTGCAAAAGTGTAATTCTTAGGATGAAATATAATTTATCTCTCTGTTATAACAAGGATTGATATTATTGTCACTAGAGTAGGCATCATATGCAAAACTTCTGGATACTTGTTGAGGAAAAAAAGTGAAATAATGCAGAATGTGCACATTGATGCAGGGCAAGTAAACCTAACATGAAATGAGACATCATTAAAATGAGCGCTAGTCATACTATAATAAACTACAGTCATCATTGCCAAGGCTAGAAATGTTAAAGCGATCTCCGTTTATTTTCAGCTTCTCTTGATAGTTTCCTCAATGAGGCTGGAGACTTAAGGAATTTGCTAAGGCTTATTGCCTTTAGGATAGTATTAGGAGGAATTTGACTCAAACATTATTATTATATCAATGAATGTAACAAAGCCTATACCTAATTAAAGTAAATAGCTAGCTCTGTTTTTAATTTTATTAAAATTCATAAAATAATAACTTCTCTTAAAATAAAGCTTTCTAGGATATACTCATCTTAGAGCATTCCATTAATTTATTAATATCTCAAAACTATCAATTTCAATGTCAATTCAAAATTCGCCTCAAGGGGTTTTGGGGTTTTGGGG